CGGCCGCAGGTGAGCGCGCGGGGCCCCGCGGGGCCTGCCTCGGCCTGGCGGGCGGCAGCTCCTCGTCCGCCCGGAGGGGACCGGCACCTTCCTCTCCCCGAGGCGGGAGGCAGGGAGGGAGGGTGGCCGAGTGGCCTTCCCGGCGCCCGCGTCCCCCTTCAGGGCTGAGCCCGAGGAAATTGCGAACGGTTCTCTCAACCTGCTGGTGGTCCTGGAACCGAAACTCCGAAAATTTCCGTGCGAACAATCCAAGCGCCGCTGGCTTGGAACTGGCGGCCTTGGTGATTGCTTATCTCTGGGTGAGTCAGAGGCCAGCGCGGGGACAGCGGGCTGGGTCCAGCAGTCCTGGCGACCGCGACCCCGCCAGAGGGCTGGTCACGCCTCGTGCCCTCCTGAGTCAGGGCTCCGATCGCTGTCCCGTGAACTTCGGACCTCTGTTCCCCTCCCTCCCAGCTGCCGGAGCTCACCAGTTCTCCACGACTTGCTTTAGTTATTTTGTGACATCCCCCTCCCCCTCAGTAAACTCCAGGTTAAGAGCGTTCCAAAAGGACTGAGGGTCGTTTCTGGGCCTGTGATGACTCTGATGGTCTTGTGTTTGGGGTGCACAGAAGCGCGGGGAGCGAGTAGTCCCGGGCACAAGTGGACGGTGAATGACTGTACATCCACACCCCTGCCCTCTTCCTGGGCGGCTTTTCAGCCCGGCATAATGGGGAGGAAATTGTTTGGCCTTTGGTTCCAACTGAATAACTGTAGAGTTATCTGAAAACAAGAGAGAACGACAAACCTAGGGGGACAACAAAGAGATAAAGGAAGTGAGGAAGCCCTGGAGGACAGCGTTCCTTCGCACCCTCTTTAGAAAGTGTAGTGAGTATTTCTTCGAGCCGGGGAGGTGCCTTTGCCTGACTGACTTCCCTTAATCACTAGGAGAAAGTTGGGAATGACAGTGTAGTGTAACGAAAGGAAAGAACTCCCCTGGACTTGAAGGAATGATCAATTAGAACCCCTCGGAACACGACCCCTGCCCCTCGTAGTACTGGGAATCAAACCCAGGGATGGCTCGACCACTGAGCTACATCCAAGCCATTTTAAAATTTTGGTCCTTGTTTTTAAATTTGAGACAGGGTCTCAGTCATGAAGTTGGCTGAGCTGGGCTCAAATTTACCATCGTCCTGCCTCAGCCTCTCGGAGTGCTGGGATTACGGCCGAGCCATGCCGTGCTCAGCTTTCCACCTGTTGATGTTTTGAGACAAGATCTGGGTAAGTTGCCCAGGCTAACCTAGAACTTGGCAATCCTCCTGCCTCAGCCTCCCAAGTAGATGGAATTACGGGTGTGTGCCAATGTGCTTGCCTCCCTTGGTACAATCTTGAAACCTTAAAACTAATTCCCTACACCCATTACTAGGACTTTTCATCCAAATAAGGCATTTGTTTAGGAATACCAGTTGTTATGAAAATAATTGATAGTTTTGTACTGTGTAAGTCCAGACCTAGTGAAATAATGAATACTTGGTGGGTGTGAATACATTTTTTTTTCAAGAAGGTAGTGAAAAACTTTACAAAGATGCCCTTCCCCTGAACTGCAGATTTAAATTGTGGTGTCTCTCTCGGATTCCTATTACAGTACCTTCAGCAAAAACGTTGCTCTTCCTGGAGACTGTGGAGCTGTACTGTATTGGAATTTAAACTATTAAGTTCATCATTGAGTTGCAATGTGTGTATTTATTCCAAGGCTGGTGGAAATGGCATTTTTGTAACTTTTTACCAGTTCCATAATTTCCCAGGGCTGCCAAAAGCTTTCTCAGGTTCTTTGATAATATGTTGCTGAGACATGAGGTTATGTGCTTTTTGCGCTCAGGATTTATTTGTCCTCTTCCTGGAGGGAGGAGCAGCAATATTACGGAGTGGGTAGAGAGTCAGACTTGTAATTTTGGCTTTTATTTCTTTAGGGATTAGGTCTTGAGTACTTTGCCTCTCTTTACAAGCTGTTCTTGTCTCTCCGCTCCTTAGGTAGGGTGTTTTTCAGACACCCTTGCATTCCTTACTAAGTTTGGGCATTTGTTACCGGGTGTTAGAGGGTGCTGTCCTCCCAAGGGAGAGCAGGAGCTGACCCAGAAGCTTGTGTCTCCTCTCCTGCTCATGTTTCGCTTTTCCTGTCCCCAACACTCACTCCTTCTGCTACTGCTTTATAATCTAAAGATTTTCTTTCATCTCACATAATATGATACTATAACCCTGGGGCTTGGGGACTTGATGGAGCCTCTGAACCGAGGTTCTCTTCCTGCTGATTTATGTGGTTGTATAAATAATCTATTTACTTTTGCAACAGGTACATAGAAGAGTATCTAAAGCTTGTAAATTTTACAGTGAAAACTTCCGCTATCAGTTCCTTAGAAGCAGACGCCCATCCCCCCCAACACAGCCTCCTGCCTCCCTCTGTGTTTTTTTACTTTTTCCCCCCATTTATGATGTTGGGGAATCGAACCCAGGGCGTTGTGCATGTTAAGCAAGTGCTCTACCACTGAGCAACACTGCCAGCCTTACTTTTTATAACCTTTGTGGCTAATATTTCTTTTCTGCACAGTTTTACCAGATACATATACATTTCTATACAATATTGTTTACTTTTACCTATTTTACAACCTGACCTAAGTGGAATTGTCTGTATAGAGACATATACATATTTCGTTTTTCTTTCTGAGCTCACCATTGTTTTTATTAGCCTAGCAGAAGATAGGCAATGACTCAAGATTATGAGCTGTCTAGAATGAACTCTTCTAATTCAAAGGCTAAGAGCCCCAGGCAGAATTTGATCAAAGAGCACTCTTTGAATGGCATCCTTAGGAAATAAAAATATTTTAAAAATTACAGTAAGAAGTTGGATTTGGGGGTAATCACAATTTTACCTTACAACATTAGTGTTTACCTTCTTCATAAAATGTTATTATGTTTTCCCAGGGCTTTATTTTGGTAGTGGTGGTGGTGGCGGCTACTGGAGATTGAACCCAGAGCCTTGCACATACTGAGCATGTGCTTTGCCACTACACTCTATCCTCAACCCTGCTTCCCTCGGTTTTTTTAAGTAATTCATTATCTTTAGGGCGGGAGGTGAAGTTCAGTGGCAGAACATTTACCTGGCATGCATGAGGCTCTGGGTTCAACTACCACTGCAGGAAAAAAAAAAGAAAGAAAGAAAAGAAAAAGGCCCAGTTGAAGTATGTAGATTTCAGGATCAACCCTGTGCTGAGAGTGAGGTCAGTGAAAGCTAATCAATAGTAATTCATGATTCATGACATTAATTTATGAGCAGCGATAGGAAGGGTCTGTGGGGAGCAGAGAGGGTGTGATTGCTTGAGCTTCATGAACTGATGCTAAGGTGTTGTGAATCTGGTATCATGTGAAATATTTTCTGTTGCCTCACATGAGATAGGGTGGTTATTATAAAAGCCACCTGAATCCTTGGTATATTTTATTAATCCACTGAATGTTAATCACAGGCAGAGGCTATGGTACTAATTCAGTGTTTCTCAAACTTTTCCTGTGTGCACCAGAATTGCCTAAAATGATTGTACAAGCACAGATTGCTGGTCCCTATCCTGAGTCTTTGACTCAGTTGGTCTGAGGTAGGGCCTGAAATTTTTCTTTTTTTCAGGGCTGGGGATTGAACCACGGATGTGCCATCATTGAGCTATATCCCCAGCTCTTTTTATTTTTTATTTTATTTATTATTTATTTTATTTTGAGACATGGTCTTGCTGAGTTGTCCATGCTGGGTTTGAACTTTTGGTCTTCCTGCCTCAGCCTTGCCATTAGCTGGAATTAGACGTGCATCATCACATCCAGCACTTTGCACGCTCTTTGTAATTAAGAGAGAAATCATACCCCAACACTGAGTCTTAAATTCTTTCTTTCTTCCTTTCTTTTTCTTGGAAGCACTGCATATGTTAGTTAGCTTCTATTGGTGTGGAGGAAGTACCCTAGAGGCCTGTTCTGATAACCTCAATTGATGGAGACTTACTGTAAGGATAGACAGGTCAATAGAGGAGCACCGGAAGTAGTTTTGGAAGTTATTTGGAAGAGTAACTCAAGGAAATGGGCAGCAAATAGCTACACCAAAGAAACATCCTTTGTAAGTTGAAATATTCATAGCTCCTCATGTTAGCGACAGCACCATGTTGTGATTCAGTTTCTTAGTGTCTGCTTCCATGGCTTATGAGGATACTGAATAATCGGCTCTCCTGTTTTTCTCATAGGACAACCCTTTTGGGCAGGGCCCTCATGCCCATTTTTCTGAGGCCAGTGACAGGCTTACAGACAGCCGTTTTTTCTG